AGTTTAGAAAAAATGTCAATCAATTAAAAAAAAGTGGGTTCATGAATGGAAAAAACATAAAAATAGTAATGGTAATGAGGAAAAGATATACATCCTAGCATAACGAGAATAAAATTATGGATTATATACATATCATAAACTACTCATAACAACAAAGGTGTGGATTACCAATCACACAAATTTCTACTCTAAAACTAAAGAATCACACCCTGGTACATAAAATCAATCAAAATCAATAAGAAAAAAAATGCTTAAGAGCATCCTTGGATACAAGTTTTTTTTTTTAAAAAAAAAATTTAATTTGAACTCAAATTTAACTCAATTTCACTATCTTCAATATTATCAATATAAGTAGATAATATCAACCAATCATCTTTCCACATCACATCAACTTTAATTCACTATTCATCCACTTACATAACATAATTTTAACTACTTATCACTTCCAATCATTTATTTCCTATTTTTACATCAAATCAACTTTAATTATTTTATTTTAAATATTATTTTAATACTAATTCAAAATTCTACTCAAGCTTAACCAAACATACTTTTTTAAAATTAACCCTAGTTAACCAAAAAACCAATCAAAACAAAAACAACTTATAAACAAGCAAGCCCTAATCGATTATCCACATAAACAAATATAGGATTAATGTCAGATCAAAGCATGCGCAAGCACGAGCAATTGCACGAGTTGAAGATGAACAAAAGAAAAAAAGTAGAGAAAAATAGAAAAAAAAAAAAGCAAACAGAGACGAAAATGGAAAAATTTGATATGAGTCGAGCCTGGCTCCTTCCGAGGGTTCAATCAGACCACTCGCCTCTTATGTTGGGACTCGGTCGGACTAGTCCCCCACCACGTGGCCTGAAGCCATTTCGTTTCTTAGCCGCATGGCTTAGCCATCCCGACTTTAAGGGATTACTGGAAGAGACGTGGCACCCTTCACTCCGCTTTGAGGAGGCAGCGGCGACTTTTACTGAGAAGGCCAAAGAGTGGAATGTCCACGTATTTGGCAACATATTTCGACGGAAGAAACAACTACTGGCCCGACTAGGCGGTATTCAGCGGAGCCGGCAATTCTACTTTAACGGCCGATTGGCTGGGCTTGAGAAACAACTCCATGCAGAACTTGAGGAGGTCATTATGCAAGAGGAAATGCTAATGATACAAAAGGCCGCCAGGGACTGGTCCTACGTGGGGGACAGAAATACATCCTACTACCACCGGCAACTTAAATATCAAAGACGACGTGGTAAGATAACCGAGTTGATGGATACTGAGGGGCACCAGGTCACGGATGAGGTGACTCTTCGTAATCTAGCTACGGAGTTCTTCAAGACCATCTATACCGCAGGGCCGACCCCCGTGATGGACGGAAATGTGGCCAACCTTTTCACAGCCCGCGACGACACTGCCGTGGAGACCATGACCGTAGCTATTTCGGATGAGGAAATTTCTTCAGCCCTGAACACTATGGGGCCGTTGAAAACTCCAGGAATGGACGAGTTGGACGCTCTTTTCTTTCAACAGAATTGGAAGATTGTCGGGCCCACGGTTCGGGAGTTTCTTAGACAAATGTGGACCGATGGTGTCGTTCCAGATCAGGTGAATCGAACCCTGCTTGTACTCATCCCCAAAGTTGAATATCCAACCACTCTAAAGCATTTCCGGCCTATTAGTCTACTTAATGTTATATATATAAACTGTTCATCAAAGTTTTGGTGAACCGTATGAAGGGTACACTACCGGGCTTAGTCCATCCAGCCCAAGCCAGTTTTGTCTCGGGCCGACATATCACGGATAACATCATTGTAGCCCAAGAGCTCATCCACACTATGCGTGGAAAACGCGGCCCGAAGGGATTCATGGTCATTAAGGTTGACTTAGAAAAGGCATATGACTACCTTCGGTGGGATTTTATCGAAGAAACCATGAGGTTGGCCGGCTATCCTGAAAAATTCGTTACGGCGGTTATGGCGTGTGTTAGATCGGCCTCAATGAATGTGTTGTGGAATGGGACGATTGGGGAGGAGTTTAGGCCCACGAGAGGAGTCAGACAGGGAGACCCGATGTCTCCTTATCTCTTTGTCCTTTGCATGGAAAGACTAGCACAGAGGATCGTTGAGTCGGTTGAGCATCTCGACTGGCACCTGATTTCAGTGGGTAGAGGGGCCGTCAAAGTACCTTTTTTTATGTTCGCAGACGACTTACTTCTCTTTTTGGAGGCTTCGGACGGCCAGGCTACAGTCCTAAAGGGAGTCCTGGACAGTTTTTGTTCTAGATCGGGATTGAAGGTGAGTGCGGAGAAGACCCAAGTCTTCTTTTCTAATAATGTGGAACATCTGGAGCAGATTCGTCTGGCGACGGTGCTAAACTTCAAATTGACGGACAACTTGGGAAAATATCTAGGAGTGCCAATTATTCATGGTCGTGTATCCAGAGCAACGTACAATCATATTTTGGAGAAGACGGAGTCACGTCTAGCGGGATGGAGAATGAAATCCATGTCTTTGGCTGGCCGGGTGACCCTCACGCAGTCCGTTTTGAATACGCTACCTTACTATACAATGCAGACTGCGATGCTACCGTGTGCTGTGACTGACGGGCTCGAAAAGCGAAGTTGTGCATTCGTGTGGGGAGGGACTAATGAACGAAAGAAGGTACATTTGGTTGCCTAGAGGGACGTATGTAAACCGAAAGATGAGGGGGGTCTGGGAGTGAAAGATCTCCGTCGTATGAACAACGCTCTGCTCATGAAACTGGGGTGGGGGTTATTGACTAAACCAGATGACCTGTGGGTACGAGTTCTGAAGGAAAAATATGCCTTGAATTTTTCTGATGATTTGAATTCAGCTCGGGTGCGGCAGGGCTCGCCTTTAATCCGAGCAATCCGCACGGTTTGGCCCCGAGTAGCGAGCGGGGTGCGTTGGGTGTTGGGAAACGGGCTACGGGCCCGATTCTGGCTTGATAAGTGGCTAGGCACGGACGGGCCACTGCTTAGGTACGTTCGTAACCAAGATCTGACAGTAAACGTGTCTTCGTCGGTAGCCGACCATGTAGACGTTGATGGCAGCTGGAAGTGGAAAGGGTTCGACGACATTCTACCCTCAGCCGTCATTCTCCGCATAGCGGCCACCCTCCCCCCGAAAGCAACGGCCGACGACGATCGAATTATATGGGGCCTATCTGATGATGGACGTTTCTCCACGCGCACCGCCTATCAAGATGTCTCGTCAGTCGCGAGAGCTCACGACCGTCCTTTATGGCGGCTAATTTGGCGTGCTCCTGCACCACAAAAGGCTCGGATCTTCTTGTGGCTTGCCACAAAAGACCGGCTTCTAACCAACGCCGAGCGAGTACGGCGTCATATCTCGGTTTCTGGTAGGGGTGTTCACGGTCCGGATTGGTCCGGTTTTAGCCTAAACCATGACCAAACCGGACCTAACGGTTAATTTTTTTTCTTGTCCATAACCGGACCGGTTTTATTTTTTAACCGACCACAATCCGGACCGCATTGGACGGTCCGGTTTGGCGGTTAACCGGTTAAATCCAAAACTTGTTTTGGGCCTTCAATTTTTATTTTTTTCATTTTGGGCTTAAATTTTTTTTTATTCAATTTTGGGTCCTAAAGAGTTTTGAGCTTAAAAATTAAGAAAAACAACAATAATGAAATAAAAAGTACACAATTCGTCTCATAAGCATAAAAATGCACATTTTCTCCCATAAACATAAAAATACAAAAATGATGAAGATTAATTATGCAAACTGAACTCAAGCAAACATTCATTTTTCAGTCAGTTTATACACCTGAAATAATAAGAGCAAAGCATTCATAGTGAATGTATTGTATTTGTCGGCCATAGTGAATGACTGAATGTATATATATATTTGTTATAGTTTTTTAATATTTACCGGTCTGGTCCGGTTAAACCGGCGGTTTGCCGTAGGTAATCCGTTAACCGGACCGGTTATTCTGGATTTTTTAAAAAAATTAACCACCGGATTTTTTAAGGCTTTTTTAACTAACCATTTAACCGATCCGCGGTCCGGATTGACGGTTTTTTCCGGTTAAAACCGGACCGTGAACACCCCTAGTTTCTGGGGCGTGTGAAGTGTGTGGTAATGGAGAGTCGACCCTCCACGTATTGAGGGATTGTCCGAGTATTAAACCCGTCTGGAAAATGTTGCTACCGACCGGACCGGACAGCGGCTTCTTCCAACTGCCACTTAAAACCTGGCTTAGCTCAAATCTTAGGAAGATGCGGATGGGAGTGAGGGAGAGATGGAATAGTTTATTTGCGATTGCGGTGTGGAGAATGTGGACGTGGCGGAATGAAAGGATATTTAAGCAAAAATACCTGAGTTGTGTGGCCCGAAAAACGGAAATCGAGAGCATGCTGGACAACTATGAAAAAGTCGCGGCAGTCTACATGAAGGTCGGGGCTGCCACGTACGTCACTCGCATGATTCAATGGTCTCCCCCTGCCTCGGGTTGGATTAAAGTGAACACTGACGGTGCTTTTGACAGCCAAACGGGGTTAAGTAGTGCGGGCGGGCTGATTCGAGATGAGATGGGGCGGTGGATCGAGGGCTTTCTATTGAATATCGGATCATGTACTATTACGGGAGCCAAGCTTTGGGGACTCTTTCACGGGCTTCATTTGGCGTGGGATTTGGGATATCGGAGAGTTGTTGCGGAGATTGATAGCCAATGCGTACAAATGGTGTCTAGCTCGGGAGGCGGCCTTGGAGCTCATGAAGCGATGGTTAAGGCCATACGCGAGGTATTACAGAGGGGATGGGAAGTTAGAATTCAACATGTCCACAGAGAAGCGAATTTTGGAGCGGACCATATGGCGAATTTGGCAGCCTCCTACCCGATTGGACTGCATCGAGTCTCTTCATCTCCTACTGGATTAGGTGCTTGGCTTGAGCATGACAATATTGGGGTGTCATACCCCCGACAAGTGCTAGCATAGGTCGTCGACCTCCTTCTTTGTACCAAAAAAAACATATAGTCATTCTCTTTTCGTCTCCAAGTTCACATTCCCTTTATTTATATTTATATATATATAGGCCGCAGTCCAAATACCAATAAACACAACACACTGCGCCTCGACTTCAATTGTAAAATAATTGAGCACATTTAAATTTTTATACTTTTATATATGTATTCCAAAACCTTCCTAAAAATTATTATAGCTCTTTTGGGCTTTCTCTCACTACATCATCAAGCTTTCGTCTCAAGCCGCCGCCTCTCTCTTCACCCGGAAGACGATGATGATGTGGCGCCAGACGGAGTTTGCTCTGCCGCCGTCTCCGTACATGGGTACAAGTGCCAAGAATATAATGTAAGAAGCTCGATTAATATAAAAATTTTTATTCGCATTACAAATTGTAAGATGTGAGTTGATGGAAAATTTTATTGTTGACAATATGCGTCTAAGGTGACAACTGATGATGGATACATACTAAGCGTGCAAAATATTCCTCAGGGCCGGGCCGGAAGCCCAGGCCCGAACAGGCCTCCAGTTCTGCTGCAACATGGGGTCCTTGTGGTAAGTATTTTTAATTTTTTTTTTCTTATAATTATAATTATATATTTGACCTTTTTTGTTTTTATATCTTAGAGTGATGATACTAATGTTGAGTCTGGGCATATATTTAAGAACAGTGAAGCTTTTATAGACAGTTCTAACAATTAATCTCTTAAAAAATATACACATTTTCATATACGAGTGATATTCCTTAGAAAAACATTATTAACAAAAGTGTGGTATTTTCTTAATATAAACCCGCCTAATCGTGTTCAACTGATTCAAATAAGATTATAAGAACTTGTGAGTTATGAAAATCTGTCCTCAGTTTTCAACTTTCAAGTATTTATGCTGTTGGTAGTTGATCTGAGTAGAAAAATAGTACTTACTTTTTAGGAGTGGATGTGAAAACGACCAAAATATTACCATTTTCAATAATTAATTTACCATTTTCATTATCTCGTTGTATTTTCAAATGTGTAGTGTAATAAAAACTTTAGTTATACAATTTGTTTATTGTGGATTGTAGCGCACATTGCATTGTTTGTTAAAAGTAATTAGGGCTTAGTACGGAACTCGAAGAGTATCGAATCATTCCGAAAATCGAATCGAAGTCATCCCGAATCGAAAAATATCCTTTGATCGTTTGACTTTATCCGAACCGAAGCATAACAAGAAAAAAATTGGTACTGCATGTGAGGCATTAGTTTGAAAAGAAATTACGTTAATATTTCTTTTCCTATCACAAATTTTGTTAACTAACGTGTCAAGTTTATTAAAATAAATCATTAATTATAAATCAAATTCAATTTGGAATGTTTGAAAATCGGCCTTTAAGATGAAAATCTTTTACAAAATTTGGAGAGAAATATTTATTTAAAGATGATTTATTTTCAAATAAAAATAAATTGATAGATATTTTTACCATAATATATATTAGTTTAATAATAATACTACGGCACGCCGATACCCACTGCTCGAAGACGGCTAAGGTTCAATGCTTTTTGGTATTACACATGTATTGATGAAAAGTTCACAACTAAATTTGAAATCTATCGTATGGAATTGTGGTTTGTGAATTATGAGACTTGTATTTAGAATTAGGGGATGCAAACTCTTGGATAATGTGTGTCTTAGTAATACTTGATCTACAATTGAATTTTTTTTTTTTATAAATATTATTTATAATATTCAATATGATGAAGTACTTATGAATATTGAAATTTTTAAAGCATATAAAAATTAAAATATAACTAGGTAGTCTACCAAAATCTAATTTCAATCATGAACAACTTTATGTTGCAATATCTAGCGTTAAGAATAGACAGAGCTTGAAAGTTTTGTGCTGCAACCAGGAAGAAAAAATTGTACAGGAAATTACAACTTTATTTATTTATTTATATTTTTACAAGAACTAAACTCTTTTTACTTCTTTTACAATAACTAGTAATTTTGAATGAGAAATACTAAGAAGTGTTTGTTAAGCAGGACGGGATGACGTGGGTGCTAAATTCTCCAGAACAATCTCTAGCGATGATATTGGCTGATAATGGGTTCGATGTTTGGATTTCCAACATTAGAGGAACTCAGTTTAGCCGCCGACATCTCCAACTTGATCCTGATGATGATGATGTGAGAGAACTTACATCATTTTTTTTTCCCTTATGAAATCACAATCCTACTTACTGGTTTTCTTATTTTTTCTTTTTTAAGTTAGAAAAAAAAAGTGAAATACAGAAAAGATTAAGAGACAATTTCTCGTACCTAGCTCTAATTAGTTACCATATCAATGGCTGCATATGTCGTCCTATGTTACTTATCAAACTATCACCATTTTTAGAAATTTTACTAAAATGAAACTCTACAAATTAAATGATATATACATATATGTTATTATGATAATTGTATTATAGGTAAATTAATTTAACACAAGATCATATATATAATTAATATTGCATGAGCATGGATAGGAATTCTGGGATTGGACATGGGACGACCTGGTGATCCACGACTTACCATCTGTAACCGCGTTTGTCGTCAATCAAACCGGTCAGAAAATGCACTACATTGGTCACTCAATGGTAATTAATTAATTGGTTATTCTTTACTGCACGAACAATATTATAGAATCCTAATTAACTGAATAATTTTTTATGTATTTCGTCTGCCTATAACAGGGAACTTTGATAGCTTTGGCCTCATTATCAGAAGGGAATCTGACAGACAAGGTTAGGTCGGCTGCTTTGTTGAGCCCGATTGCATATCTAAGTCATATGACTACCGATATAGGAAACATCGGCGCTAAAGCCTTTCTTGGTGAAGTAAGAATATACGATTTGTGTTCACCATTAAATCCATTTACTAACTTTTCATCATGAAATGTTGTGTCTTAAATCTTCAATATGGAAGAGTTTGTTAATTACGTGTTACAATTTCTCTAAAAGAAGAATTTTGTACTTAACAGATCGCTCATATGTTTGGTCTAGCAGAATTCGACCCCCAAGAGTATGTGAGCAATACTTAATTTTTTTTCACTCTGCTTTGTATATAGTATGTTGTTCTTAAAGTTAATTAAATAATTAGTCTTTCTACAATTTGTTCATAGACACGTATGTATGGATTTATTTACTTATGTTACTTGTTTTCACAGTCAGGCGGCAGATGATTTTGTGAATGTACTGCGTCTTGCTACTGGAATAGACTGGAACGACTTGAGCAGCGATCTTACGGGTATTTGATTTTACGACCAACTACTTTAATTTCTTCATTTTTTGGCTACTAATTAAAATGTATGTATAACAATTGGATTTCATGTTGCTTGTTTGTGTGATGACAATTTTAGGAAGTAATTGCTGTCTCAATTCATCTACAGCCGATTTTTTTCTCAAGAACGAACTTCAATCCACATCGACTAAAAACCTTGTCCATTTCTCTCAAAGTAAGTTATTAATTCTCGTAATCTCAAAAGACCCCTCTACTTTCTTGTAATTCAGAATGAATCTTGAGGGCGTAATTTTCTAAACAAACATTGCATTTTTCACGATCGACTGAATTTGCAGCGGTTAGAGATGGAGTCGTGTCCAAGTATGACTATGGCAGTGATGAGTCCAACTCAGAGCATTATGGTGAGTCGAGCCCTCCCGTTTACGATTTGTCCAAAATACCCCACGACTTTCCCCTCTTCTTGAGCTATGGAGGAGAAGACGCTTTATCGGACGTTAAGGATGTGGCCACGTTGCTTGATGCTCTTAAGAATCATGACGTGGACAAGCTTCACGTACAGTACATCGAGGATTTTGCTCATCTCGACTTTATTATAGGGATAACTGCCAAGGACGTTGTTTATAATAAGGTTATAGACTTTTTTAAAAGCCAACAATAGGTTAATTTCTTAATTCGAAACATCTTTGGGGTTCGGTCTCTGAAGTGTGTAATTGCATACAGATCCTCTTACTTTGGGGGTGAGATAGTAGCATGTTTTGGTTGTTGTCATCAAGATGTGAATAAATCATTCCCAAAGATTTTTTTATATACGCGGCACCATTTTACTAGTATTAAAATTCTAATAAAGCTATACAATGAAAAATATATAGTGATATTTATTGGATCTTCATAGTTTGGTGCATTTTGTTTTGGCTATACTGTGGGATACTTTTCTCTGTCGTTCATCATTTTCTTAAAATTAACATCAAAATGTAACGATTAGCAATGCATTTTTTTCCATGAAGGACAAAGACAAAATTGTGATTTTTGAAGCAAGAAACTTGATTGTAAGTGTAAATGTTATGTGGCCGTCTCCCAATCCACCAATATTGGAAGGTCACACAAAAATTCAGAGTGTATCTCTAAGAGCAGAGAGTGAGAAAGGGTAGATTCGATGCTTGGGGCAGTGCCCCCACATGCTTTTTCACCTTTTATTTGCACACAATCACACACACACCCATGTGGGTATGTGTGAAATCAAAGGTGAAAGAGCATGTGGGGGCACTGCCCCCACATGTAGCATCGAATTTATCGTGAGAAAGATGGAGAGAGAAAGTAGCCAACCGCATTTTGTGCAAGAAAAAAGAAGAAAAAGTGTAGAAATTAGGGCAAGAGTGAGATAAGAGAATATTTAAGGGTGCAATATGGATGGTGGGGATTTAATCCTTAAATCCAACGGTCTAGAGCCGACTTGCCACTTATGTGTGTGTGAGGGCCAAGCCCAGACACAATTTGGGCCTGGGATTCCTTGGCCTGAGATATGGGCCAAATTCCCAACATTTCTCTACAGATTTGGCCCACCACTGAATATCGGACAAATTGAAGGAAGTCAGAGAACTATCATCATTGCTTAACGACACCTGTATTATTCACAAAGTTAGTACCAACATCAAACAAGTAGCAAGCACACATTAAGCCACCCACACTACAGAAAAAAAAAAAAAAAAAAAAAAATGTTATATTCCAACGGAAATCCTATGACAATTTATTCCAATGGTATAACTTCCGTTGGAATCATTCCAACGAAAATATTACGTTGGAATGTGTTTTTTATTGGAATTTTAGATGGAATCTGATGATTCCAACGACTATATTTCCAACGGCTTTTTACCGTAGAAAGCAATTTCCGTTGGAATTTTTATTTCCACCCCCGTTGGAAAATCTACCGGTACAATCGTCAAAATTCAACGAAAATTCCAATGGAAAACTCGTTCCAGAAGAATATTTCTGTTGGAATTTCTGTTGGATTCCATTGGAAAATTCCAACGCAAATAATATCATTGAAAAATATCCATTGGAATTGCCACTGAAATTTTATTTGAATATATTTTCATTGGAATTTCATCATTTTCTTGTAGTGCCAAACACACAACAACAAATAACATATCAATCACAAGTGTCAAATTTTATCTATATCATATTTCTCAATATGTATCAATAATTTACATGTTTTATCCCCTTATTCTTTTCATGCCTATAAATAATTTACATATTTGAACTCATTTTGCTACGAACTAAATTTTTTTTTTTTTTTTTCTGTTGTACTATTTTTTATTTGTAATTTTAATTTAAGTATTATTTTATCTAATAATGTTATTTGTATTTTAAGCATTTAAAATTAAGTATTCTGATTAAAAACTATATTTATTTTTATCAAGAATAGAATATAAAAATATTACTGAATGAGTGGGTAATGAGTCTCATATGGGGTTCGCGGGATCCAAGTGAACTGCGTCTCTCCGCATGGGGTGCCATCAGAGATGCTCGTGGGTGGGTACAGACGGGTTCTTGAGGATCCGGATTTGCAGCCTGAGGACATAAGCAGGATAGTGAGAAAGCGGACGAGTTTTCTCCGTAGGCGGGGAGCCAGCATGGAGGATGTGGCTCGGGGGGTGTTCTTCCTGGTGAGTGGCGACTCGGGTTTATACCAGGGCATAATTTGGTCGTAGATGGGGGTTTCACGTTGGCCAACAATCAAATAAGTCTTATGTATCAAAATGAAAGGTAATGTATTGGTAATTTTTTTTTTTCAGACCTAGTTGTTAAATCAAGTTTGCACATGTGTCAAATACAAAACATAAATTTAGCTAAATAAGCTTTTGAATAAAGAAAAAATCTAAGGGTGTGTTTGTATATAAAATAATTCAATTTATATTCAAAATCTAACTCAACTTTAACTTAATCTCACAATGCTCAATATTATCAATATAATTATTTAATATCAACTAATTTTTCACATCAACTTTAATTCATTATTCATCCGTTTATCTAATTTTAACAAACATCACTTCAGATCATTTCTCTTTTATTTTTATACCAAATCAATTTTATTTATTTTATTTTAAATATTATTTTAATATAAACTTAAAATTACACTAACAACAAATCATATCAAGTCACATTTTTCAAAATTAACTATGATTAATTAAAAAAACTCTTTCCATTTCATTATTTAAAAGTCAAAATGTCAGTCTGAAAACACGAAAGAGAGAGAGAGAGAGAGAGAGAGAGAGAGAGAGAGAGAGAGATGAGATGTGAACTCTGAACAATGTTCAAACTATTCGAATTTACAAAGACCATCAATAACCTAAAAGATTGGATTGATTGATCTTCCATATATAGAAAACGAAACGAAAAACAGCTTGGCGTGTCCAATGAATATTTTGTATACCCAATCCAGTGGATATTTTGTATACCCCAGCGTCCGATGAGTTTATAGAAATAGCATTTGCAGTTTTAGTATTTATAATAATTTACCTCAAATTACACCTAATTTCACATTTGAATTTTTGCTAGCACAATACCCATATATTACAGGGATAATAGTTATAAAATATATACATAAAATTGAAAAATAATAAAAATAATTTTTTTTGGATTTTAAATATTTTTTTACATAAATTATATTATTATTTATATTTAAAATGACATATGTCACTTATATGACTCACGCATCTTATATTTTTTTAACTTATATAATAAGTTAATTTTAAGTTAAATTAATTTAAATAATTTTATTTTTTCAGAATAATACTAATACATAATTTAATGACAAAAGTAAATATTTTTTTTTATGCACAATATAGATGTCAAATCGTAGTTCATTAAGAGCTGATTAATTTGATATATTATATATAAAAATATAATAAATTCAAAAATTATTAAATTTTAAAATATATTATCGTTTAAGTTAGTAATTATTTATTATTTCAAAAGAATGACCTGGAGAAAATAAAAATTAATACTTCTGAAAAAATCATAAATATCCAGAATACTTATGGTTATTTCAGGCTCAGTTATTTTTAGATTGTAAGTAATTTAAAATATGTACAAGTCAAATGACAAAGCATAAAAATTTGACATATATGATCTCGAAGTGTGCGAGTCTAGTTTGTTACTTAGGCTTAACGTATTTGAGAATTATATGTAAGAGGATCCATAAATGACATGTATATAATGATGTTATATATTTATTCGTACAATACTGTTTACTACACGAGTACTTGTTAAGAAAATTATATTTAAAATTAAATAATAATAGCAACAAAAATTGTTTTATTGTTAAAATACTTTTTTGAAAAAATATATTATTTTTAATATTAGAATGACTTCGTCACTTACACAAATAATTTTTTGAATTAACTACTTTGTAGTTAAGTTAAATACTTTTATTTTTTAAGATAATATTAATGAGTAATTTAATTTTAATTAAAGATAAATAAAATGATTTATTTGTTTCATTGTTTAATATAGATGTCAAATCGAAACTCATCAATACATGGTTAATTTAATATATCATATATTAAAAAATATTAATACATACAAAATTTATTAACTTTTGAACATATTTAAAATTTAAGTTAGTAAATTCGTTATAATTTTAAAATAAATATGAGGAAAAAATAAAGATTAAAAAAAATTATACCTTAAAAACCACGTCTACAATAGAAAAATATATTAAACATAATTAATACTCTTAAAAATGACCATAAATATACATAGTGTATTTTTTGGATATTCCATGCTTAATTAATTTTGGATTGGAAATAAATTAATATTCATTCAAGTCAAACAACGAATATTAAAAATTTGTCACATATGATCTCAAAATATGCGAGCATTAGACTCAACATATTTAAAGATTATATATAAAGGATATGCGTCATTTATTTAATTAAATGAAATACAAAATAATAAAAATAGAAAATTGGAACAACCAAATGGAAATAACATAAATTCTATGTAGCCATAAGATTATTTTTTTATGGAGTCATTCACCACTTAATGTATTGACCCCTATCCAAATTGTATTTATTATAGGACGCGTGTCAATACACTATTGGTGAATAAGTATGGATGGCTCCGTAAGTCGAGCCATCCGATGGTTCCATAGCAAAATTGATGAAAATATATAAAAAACAAGAAAAGAAAAAAAAAGCCACAAAGTGGCTATAAAGTACAGAAATTATTAGGTGTTGGATCGTGAAATTTATGGCACCATAGAATTTCTGCTATAAAGTAGCCCATAAAAAAGAAAAAGAAATAAGAAACAAGAAAATTAGTTGGTTCTATATGTTGCCCATATTTAGCACGCTTTTTAGTGTTTTGGCCAAACAAACCAACCCCGTGGTTAATAAGATCCACCAATTTGTGTACGCATCTCCTACAACTTTATTAAAATGTAAACGGTCAATCGAATAATTGTTATCATCTTTGTTCTAGTCAGCTTCTTCCTCAAAAGTAGATTAATTATGTTTATTTGAGATACTTTGAAGCTCTACTTTTAAAATGAGGAGCGTATTTTATTGCTAGTTTCTCATTTTCGTATAAGGAAATCTTAAAATTGAAAATTTCCAGCGCACGATTGACGCTGGGATAAAAGACACCCATGTGAAATTGAAATCAATAAAAGAAAAAGAAAAAAGAATAAAAAAAAAAAAAGAAAAAAGGCAAATTTACACCTATCCTACACGATTTGTAAAAAATTGCATTCTCACGCTCCAGCGAATTTTAATTGCATCTATATCAATTTTGTCTCATTTAATTATATATCTACCTAATTCTAGTTTCTAAAAAAAATAAAAAACGGCTCCTTAAATTCCGCCTCATAATTGTAATTATACGTCTACCCAATGTGAGTTTTCAAAAAATAAAAGTTTATTTAACTGTGTTTTATTGACGGTATATGTATCGTTTTCTTTACATAAATTGCAGCTACAACAAACAATATGTTGCGTTTATAATCAGTAAAATTTTCCACCTCTCATTTGTTTTGAATGGACAGTATATATTTCGTTTATAGTCAGTATGTATTTTATATATGTTGCGTTTTTTATTTATATTATATCTTTATCTAACCAGAATTTTGATGTTTATATTATGGTTCAATATATTGTTTTTATAGTAAGTATATATTCAGTATATGTTGCGATTTTTAATTACATAACATTTTTATCTAATTGACATGTTTGAATTATGGTTAAGTATATAATCTATCATATACATACCATACACTGATCATAATCATTATTCTAATAAACTATTTTAGTATATGTAGAGTATATGATACAAATACAAAGGTCTATAGCTTGAAACAAAATNATGAATGGAAAAAACATAAAAATAGTAATGGTAATGAGGAAAAAGATATGCATCCCAACATAACCAGAATAAAATTATTGATTATATACATATCATAAACTACTCATAACAACAAAGGTATGTGGATTACCAATCACTCAAATTTCTGCTCTAAAACTAAAGAATCACATCCTGGTACATGAAATCAATAAGAAAAAAACGCTTAAGAGCATGCTTGGATACAAGTTTTTTTTTTTAGAAAAAAAAAAATCAATTCTAATTCAAATCTAACTCGAATTTAACTCAATTTCACTATCTTCAATATTATAAATATAATTAGATAATATCAACCAATCATTCTTACACATCACATCAACCTTAATTCACTATTCATCCTCTCACATAATTAACTATCCATCACTTTCCAACATTTATTTCCTATTTTTACATCAAATTAACTTTAATTATTTTATTTTAATACTAATTCTAAATTCTACTCAAACTTAATCAAACACATTTTTTTAAAATTAACCCTGACTAACCAAAAAATCAATGAAAACAAAAAAAACTTATAAACAAGCAAGCCCTAATCGATTATCCACATAAACGAATATAGGATTGTCAGATCAAAACATACGCAAGTACGAGTAAAAAAAAGCAATAATAACAACAACAAAGAGCAAACAGAGACAAAATATAATGGAAAATTAAAATTCAAAGGTGCATGCGTCAACGTATACTCATTCTCCTTTTGTCTCCAAGTTTACATTCCCTTTATTTCTATTTATATTTATATATAGGCCGCAGTCCAAATACCCATAACACAACACACTGCGCCTCGACTTCCATTGTAAAATAATTGAGCACCATTTAATTTTTTATACTTTTATATATATATGGATTCCAAAAGATTCCTAAAAATTATAGCTCTTTTGGGCTTTCTCTCACTACATCATCAAGCTTTTGTCTCAAGCCGCCGCCTTTCTCTTCACCCGGCCGACGGCAATGATGATGTGGCGCCAGACGGAGTTTGCTCCGCCGCCGTCTCCGTACATGGCTACAAGTGCCAAGAATATAATGTAAGAAGAATTTTTTATTCGCATCGCTTTCACAAACTAATTGTAAGATGCGAATTATTGATGGAAAATTTGATTGTTGACAATATGTGTCTAAGGTGACAACTGATGATGGATACATACTAAGCGTGCAAAATATTCCTCAGGGCCGGGCCGGAAGCCCAGGCCCGAACCGGCCTCCAGTTCTGCTGCAACATGGGATCCTTGTGGTAAGAATTTTCATTTATTTTTTTCTTATAATTATAATTATAATTATATACTATGTGTGATATTTTCTTAATATAAACCCACCTAATTGTGTTCAACTGATTCAAATAAGAACTTGTGAGTAATTAATAATTATGAAAATCTGTCCTCGGTTTCAAGTATTTATGCTGTTGGTAGTAGATCTGGGTCTCAGTATATATAATAATTATTTTGTTGTATTTTTAAATGTGTAGTGTAATAACAACTTTAGTTATACAATTTGTTTATTGTGGATTATTGTGGTGCACATTTCATTGTTTGCTAGAAGTAATAATATAAAGCTGTTAATCAAATATTGGTCATTATTAATTATGTATAGTTGAAATGACCAGATCGCCATATCTAATCATAATTATCCCACGAGGACCCTAGTTTGTGTCTTTGTGAGGAATATTATTTGAAATCAAAAATAGCTGACCAAGAAATATTTAATTTATTTGTTAAATATCTTATACATCTTAGATTTATAACAAAAACTAAATAAATACACTAATAACTAAAATATTAACATTTAGGTGTATGAAAATATGACACAATAAATTGAAGATTATTGTGACTTTACTTTTAGACCATATCCAGGTGTAATGGAAACGNAACAAAAAAAAAAAAAAAAAACAAAAAAATAAATAAATAAATAAAATAGTGAAAATCTACTCCAATTCGAAACGCCAATGATGTTTGTCCTTTTCTTTCTCCTACAAACGTAAATATTTGTGTACTATGCTTTTGTAACAGACACAATCGCAAAACTTTTGAAAATGTGAATTAGGTTTCTTTTTTTTGTTCCAATCTTCTACAAATTAATATGGGAAAAGACTACAACTTCGTTACGGAATGATTCCGTTGGGATTTGTAACCGTTAGATCATCAAGTAACCGTCAATGATAGTTGATCTAACGGTTACAAATCACAACGAAATAGTTCCGTAACAGGATTGCAGTCTTACCCATTAATATGATCGCACTTTAACACTGATGTGCGATTATATCTACTATGCATTATTTAAGAAATTAATATTTATGTAAAAATATGTATTATGTCCCCATGATAATTAACATATACCCAAATAAGGACTTTAAAACTACCCGACGTGCTCAAAATTATAATACACGATAAGTAAAATAGATTATAAATCATCACACTAGTGTGATTTTTAATGTTTAGCAAATATTTTTCATTTTTATTATTTTTACTGTCTACAATTAATTTTATTACATGTTTTATCAGTTAAATATAAAACAATAACAAGTGTAATTTATAAAGTTGCTGCATATGTGAGTAATTTTAAAAAAAAATGTGAAATTGATATGAAAAAAGAATATTATTTTTAAGTTTAAGAATGAAGTTATGGATTTGAAAAACAATTATTGCTTTATGTTTATTTGGGGTTTGAGGGTAGGTTTATGGGTTGGAGATGGCAACTTATTAGAGATCATTTATGAAACAATAAAGAAAAAAAAAATGATAAGAATTTGAGTTCAAATTTGAATATAAATTATTCAAATCATTTTGATTTTGTTTGGATTTAAGCTAGGGGTGTTCACGGTCCGGTTTTAACCGAAAAAAACCGTCAATCCGGACCGTGGATCGGTTAAATGGTCAGTTAAAAAAGCCTTAAAAAATCCGGTGGTTAATTTTTTTTAAAATCCGAAATAACCGGTCCGGTTAACGGATTACCTGCGGCAAACCGCCGGTTTAACCGGACCGGACCGGTAAATATTAAAAAACAATAACAAATATATAAATACATTCAGTCATTCACTATGGCCGACAAATACAATACATTCACTATGAATGCTTTGCTCTTATTATTTCAGGTGTATAAACTGACTGAAAAATGAATATTTGCTTGAGTTCAGTTTGCATAATTAATCTTCATCATTTTTGTATTTTTATGTTTATGGGAGGAAATGTGCATTTTTATGCTTATGAGACGAATTGCGTACTTTTTATTTCATTATTGTTGTTTTTCTTAATTTTTAAGCTCAAATAATCTCTTTAGGATCCAAAATTGAAAAACAAAAATTAAGCCAAAAATGAAAAAAATAAAAATTGAAGGCCCAAAACAAGTTTTGGATTTAACCGGTTAACCGCCAAACCGGACCGTCCAATGCCGTCCGGATTGTGGTCGGTTAAAAAATAAAACCGATCCGGTTATGGACAAAAAAAAAATTAACCGTTAGGTCCGGTTTGGTCATGGTTTGGGCTAAAATCGGACCAATCCGGACCGTGAACACCCCTAATTTAAGCATCTCCTTAAAATTCCAAACACGGTCCGAAGGTAAGAGTAGAGATTTCAGGAAAATGCCACAATTCCTCATTATTCCCATCCAAAGGGTTCACGAATTTATCTACTTGATTAATCTATACTTATATAAAGAGTCATCCCATTTACTAGAATTAGTAGGAAGAAAAGTCAAATGTAATTAATCCATTCTATTTCCATCAATTAATTTTTATTTAAGTATTTTTCCCATAAAATCGATACAAAAAAAAAGTACGTAAAACAAAAAAACCACAAATTTGATCGGAAGATAAAATCTTAATTTTACCAAAAATAAATCAAATATCAAACCTAAATTGAAGGGTTTGGTTGTCTATATAAATATTGATTTACGTAAATCAATACATATAATATTTATAGTTTGTGTAGATTTAAAATTCCTTCTTATATTTGTACAAAAAAATCTTATCTAATTGTATAGAAAATCTGATTTGGTTTGTTCCTCTACATGTAATGTGATTCCGTATATCAAGATTTTTTTTAGAAATCTTAACAGATATTGATTCTACTCTACCAATTGTAAATTCACAATTTCAAAATATTGAGTCATCGTTTTTCTCACTTTCAATCTCATGCGAAAAAAATATCCCCAATACTATCTTATTATTCAATTTTCCTACGTATTATAAAATTTTTATTTAATATTGCATCTTATAATATATTATTCCCCAAATAAATATATCTTATACCTCGCACGGGTCACGTACTATATATATACCGTACATTTTTTTTTATTTATGTATATAATTATAAATCTGGATAAATAACCTTAAAATTGTGCACTCTGTGCATCGCACGGGCTTTGCACTAGTTAGTTAGTGGATAGGGTCTTGTTTATTAAAAAAATCCATGCAATACATGCAAGTCGCCACATCCTTAATTACAGCGTCATTTGTCCGAATGCTTAACGTATTGGTGATCAAATACAATAAGACATATTCCTGTATGTTGCAATAGATAAACATGAAATTACCTTGTCAGTCACGAACAATTTGTTTACTTTATATGTATTTTTGTTTTTATTAATATGCCTTTTGAATTGACCTCTTTATTGATTTTGGTAATAATTTTTAATGGAAAATATTAATGAGTGGTTATTATGCAGGACGGGATGACGTGGGTGTTAAATTCTCCAGAACAATCTCTAGCGATGATATTGGCTGATAATGGGTTCGATGTTTGGATTTCCAACATTAGAGGAACTCGGTTTAGCCGCCGCCATCTCCAACTTGATCCTGATGATGATGATGTGAGAGACCTTACATCATTTTTTTTTTCTTATGAAATCATTTTAAGAAATTTTACGAAAATGAAACTCTATATATATGATATATACATATGTATACAATACTCATGTATTACATGGGTGCTTAAAATTTAAAATTAATGAGAAAAAGTGGTTAAAAATTTAAATATATTTTATAAAAAAAATATATAATTATATATTTTAGTATGACACTTGTTACTTGTGCGAATTACCTGTGTTATATTATAATAATTTTTCTAACTTATAACATATAACTACATTAAACATAGATATATTAAACTACATTAAACATAAATATATTAATTGAGAAATAATTTTATTTTTCTAATTAATTTTAATAAATAATTTTATTATTATTATTATAAAGATAGATATAATTTATTTATTTTATATATAAAATATGGATGTCAAATCGAAGTTCATCAAAAGATGATTAATTTGATATATTATATATGTAAAACTGATAAGAAATACAAAAGTTATCAACTTTTAAAATGCATTCACAATTCAATGGTTATTATAGGGAAATGATATTAAAATACAATTAATACATCTAAAATGATCATAAATAAATCAACATATTTATGGTAATCCTAACCTAATTATTTTTGGATTGAAATTAAATTAAAATCTATCCAAGTCAAATAATGAAGCATGAAATTTTGACACCTAGGATCCTGAAGTATGCGGGCCTGCTACTTAGGTTCACCATATTCGGGAATTATGTATAGGGAGATGTTATTATGATAATTGTATCATAGGTAAATTAATTTAACACAAGATCATATAACTAATATTGCATGAGCACGGATAGGAATTCTGGGATTGGACATGGGACGACCTGGTAATCCACGACTTACCATCTGTAACCGCGTTTGTCTTCAATCAAACCGGTCAGAAAATTCACTACATTGGTCACTCAATGGTAAATAATTAATTAATTAAATAGTTATTCTTTACTGCACCAACAATATCATAGAATCCTAATTAACGAAATAATTTTTGAGATATTTGGTCTGCCTATTTAAAACAGGGAACTTTGATAGCTTTGGCCTCATTATCAGAAGGGAATCTAACAGACAAGGTTAGGTCGGCTGCTTTGTTGAGCCCGATTGCATATCTAAGTCATATGACTACCGATATAGGAAACATGGGCGCTAAAGCCTTTCTTGGGGAAGTAAGAATATACGATTAATTTGTGTTCACCATTAAATGCATGTATTGTGTTTTTATCATGAAATATTATGTCCTAAATCTTCTACATGGAAGAATTTGTTAATTACTTGTTAGAATTTCTCTAAAAGAATAATTTTGTACTTAACAGATCACTGATGTGTTTGGTCTAGCAGAATTCGACCCCAAAGGGTATGTGAGCAATACTTAATTTTTTTCACATTGCTTTGTATATAGTATGTTGTTCTTAAAGTTAACTAAATAATTAGTCTTTCTACAATTTGTTCATAGAAACGTATGTATGGATTTATTTACTAATCGGTACTTATATACAACTATATTACTTGTTTTCACAGGCAGCCGGTATATGATTTTGTGAATGTACTGCGTCTTGCTACTGGAATAGACTGGAACGGCTTGATGAGCGATCTTGCGGGTATTTGATTTTACAACGAACTATTTCAATTTCTTCATTTTTTGGCTACTAATTAAAATGAATCTATCACTTGGATTTCACGTTGCTTGTTTGTGTGATGACAATTTTAGGAAGTAATTGTTGTCTCAATTCGTCTACATCCGATTTTTTTCTCAAGAACGAACTTCAATCCACATCGACTAAAAACCTTGTCCATTTCTCTCAAAGTAAGTTATTAATTCTCGTAATCTCAAAAGACCCCTCTACTTTCTTGTAATTTAGAATGAATCTTGAGGGCGTAATTTTCTAAACAAAGATCGACTGAATTTTCAGCGGTTAGAGATGGAGTCGTGTCCAAGTATGACTATGGCAGTGATGAGTCCAACTCGGAGCATTATGGTGAGTCGAGCCCTCCCGATTACGATTTGTCCAAAATACCTCACGACTTTCCCCTCTTCTTGAGCTATGGAGGAGAAGACGCTTTATCGGACGTTAAGGACGTGGCCACATTGCTTGATGATCTTAAGAATCATGACGTGGACAAGCTTCACGTGCAGTACATCGAGGATTTTGCTCATCTAGACTTTATTATAGGGATAACTGCCAGGGACGTTGTTTATAATAAGGTTATAGACTTTTTTAAAAGCCAACAATAGGTTAATTTCTTAATTAGGAAAATCTTTGGGGTTCGGTCTCTATATGGTATGTGTTTTGACACGGGGGGATTGTGAAGTGTGTGAAATTACATACATATCCTCTTACTTTTTTTTTTTTTTTTTTTCNTTTTCGGAACGATAGGATTTCTCATAGAAAATTTGAAAGAGTACAATACGGAGGATCACTAATCCGATTACATCACCAGCATGGACGTACACTTCCAATCAGTGCCCTAGAAACTACACAATAAAACTAACCAGAATGACAGGCAAAGTGAAGTCACTCGAGCACCTTCATCCTAACCCAAACAAAAACATGAAAAATAGATAAGCTAGAAGAGATTGTTGAAAACTGAACCAAAGGACCTAATCAACAATGCGCTTCCAGTTTTAGTTCTTTGAAAGCTTGCGATTTTTGAATTCCATCCACTCCCGCCAAGCATTGTCCACGATCATTTTCGCAGGCAGCCATTCATTTCGAAAAACCCACAAGTTTCGGGCCTTCCACAGCCACCAAAGGATATAAATGGAAAGTTGGATACGGGATTCCGAGATATCTGCTTTGTTGAGCTCCGAGATCCTCCACCACCAATCATTGAAGTCCCCTGTTTTCTGGCCACAAAAATCTCAATCCAATGCAGAAATATTCCAGACTTGAGATGCTTTAGTACAATGAAACAGAGTATGCACAGTACTTTCCCTCTCTTCACCACAGCATTTGCAAAGTTCACCCACTTTAATTCCACGCTTCATAAGAGTGTCTACAACTGGTAAAGTACCGGTGAAACACTTCCACACAAAGTGTTTAATTTTTTCCTTAATATCCAGCTACCAACATCTCAGTCTGGCCTTTTTATCCTTAGTGGCAGAATCACTTCCCTCTGGTTTGTCTAACTTCATAAGTTTATGCTTAATAAAAGCAAAATAAGCGGATTTAACATATCCTCTTACTTTGGGGGGTGAGAAAGTAGCATGCTTTGGCTGTTGTCATCAAGATGTGAACAAATCATTTTCAAAGACTTTTTTATATTAGCGGCTCCATGTTATAGTATTAAAAATCTATTAAAGCTATACAATGAAAAATATTGATATTTATTGGATCTTCATAGTTTCGTGCATTTTGTTTTGGCTATATTGTGGGATACTTTTCTCTGTCGTTCATCATTTTCTTAAAACATCAAAATGTAACGATTAGCAATGCATTTTTGCCCATAAAGGACAAAGACAAAATTGTGATTTTTGATGCAAGAAACTTGATAGTAAATGTGAATGTTATGTGACCGTCTTCCAATCCACCAACATTGGAAGGTCACACAGAAATTCAGAGTGTATCTTTAAGAGCAGAGAGTGAGAAAGATGGGGAGAGAAAGTAACCAAGCGCATTTTGTGCAAGAAAAAAGAAGAAAATGTGTAGAAATTAGGGCAAGAGTGAGATAAGAGAATATTTAAGGGTGCAATATGGATGGTGGGGATTTAATCCCTAAATCCAACGGTCTAGAGCCGACCTTGCCACTTATGTGTGTGTGAGGGCCAGGTGATGCAAATGAGGGTCGTTAACTGAAGAATGCATACAATAGGGCTCGAAGGGCGAAGATGAAGGAACAAAAAGATGCTGCCCAGGTCCAGGTGTTAGCGCCGCTAACATCCTTTAGCGGCGCTAAGGTCTGATTGACTAGTGCCGTTATTCCGCTTAGCGACTACTGGGGTGAACAACTAACCCGGGTTAGCGCCGCTAACCCTCCTTAGCGGCGCTAAGGTCTGAGTGGGAGCAGTTTTCATTTCAGTTTCTTTTTCGTTTTCAATTTGGTTTGGATAGTTTGTAGGGTTATTTTAGGTCGTTTTTTTCATATTGTAAGGGGAACTTTTTATCATTTTTATCAAATATATCTCAGAAAAAGCTCGTTTTCGAGCACCAATCTGTGTCAAGATCAAGACCATAGTGCAGGTTTTGATACAAAATACTCAATTTGATACACGATTCGTAACATTGGTGCTTTCATTGAGAGTTGCTAATCGTGTATCATGGCGACTAATTGAGAAAGGATGGATAATATGAAAGAAAGCATGCGAGCAATGAGCGAACAAATTCAATCCACGAACCAAAAAAATGGCAAGACTCGAGAGGATGATACTTCAAACCGTTGGACGACGGGCTAGGAGAGGTAACAATTCGGAGTCATCTTTTGAAGGGTCAGCCGAATCTGATGGGGGTCACGAAAACCGGAATGAATTTGCAGTGGATGAAGACAACCGATCGAGGGGTTCAAATCACCGTGGAAGGCAAAGGGTTGAAAAGCCGAAGTTGATGCTTCCTACGTTCAATGGTACGGATCCTGATTCGTGGTTAAATCGTGCTTGTCAATACTTTGAGATTAACGAGATACCCAAGTCAGAAAGAGTAAAATATGCCGCTTATTATCTCGACGGAGAAGCAAATGTATTGTGGCAATGGCTATCGAGGGTATACACAAAGGAGGACAAGAGGATTCGTTGGAAGAACTTCGAAAAAGAATTGATTATTCGATTTGGAGTGTCGGATTATCATAACTATGACGAAGCTCTTTCACATATCAAACAAATGGGAAGCTTACGGGAATACTAAAAGGAGTTTGAAAGAATTGCAAGTCGAGTTCGTGATTGGCCAGAAGAAGCACTTGTTGGTACCTTCATTGGTGGATTGAAGTCCGATTTGGCAGCTGAGGCGAGATTGGGCAAACCAAGAACCATGCGTGCAGCCATGGAAGCCGCTCGGATGCGTGATGATCACTTGACAGCCTTACGTAGGGTCAATCGACCTAAAATGAGGCGACCGACAACTTTTCCTTCTAATGTGCAAAGGACGGGAATTAATATACCGACCAGCAATGGAAAAGAAAAAGAAAATTATTCGGGGTTTAAACGTTTATCTTGGGAAGAGATGCAGAGGCGGAGGGAGAAAGGCCTGTGTTTTAATTGTGACGATAAATTCACTCCGGGCCATCGGTGCAAAGAGAGGAGGTCGTTTTTCATTGAGTGTGTGGAATCCGATGAAGATGAACCAGTGGAGGATCAATTGAAGAGTGAAGTCGATTTTCACGAGGAGGATCTTGAGATGTCGGTCCATGCAATGGCGGGTACTCAAGGACCTAAGATGATGAAGATGCCAGCTTGGGTTCGTGATCGACGTGTAATTGTGCTAATCGACAACGGTTCATCTCATATTATTAATTCATCGTTGTCCGATAAGTTAAAATTGCATGTCACAAAAGTGGAGCCTTTTGAAGTGAGGGTTGCTAATGGTGATAGATTAAAATGTTTGGAGTTCTATCGGGGTGTGCCAATTAAAATGCAAGGGGTTACCTTAAAGGCCGACTTGTATGCACTACCTTTAGTAGGTTCGGATGTGGTTTTGGGGATTCAATGGTTGGAAGGATTGGGTCCGATTAATACGGACTATAAGGTGGGGACAACGGATTTTATTGGGGTGATGGACTTGTTAAATTATCTATCGGAACTCATGAGGAAACGGATGAGGTGAGTGCCAAGAGTTTGGAGAAATTGTGGAGGAAGGGTAGCCAAATCTTTGCCATTCGAGTTGATGAATTGGAGGACGTAGAGAGGGAGCAAACACATCAGCAAGAGATTGACGAGTTGCTACAACAATTCAAAGAGGTGAAGATTGATCCAAAAAATCTACCGCCAAGAAGAGAGTTTGATCTGTTGGGATCTGTGAGGATCTCGTTATGTACAAATCACGAATGTCATAGCAAACGTAAACCTATTCGCAGCGGATCTAAAGGTTTGACGTAGAGAACTTACGGCTTAAAATTTATGTAGATCTGGCTGACCACGAACGGTTGACCGCAATTGATTGACCACAAATCACGTCTTGGGTTGCACGAACAAGATCATATCAAAATCGGATCAAACGGATGCAAACAGATCAAAACGAAATTTTGCAGTCTGGGAGCTTGCGGCGGCGCGTGGAGGGCGCGTGAGACGTCAGATTCTGGCGATCTTGATGGCGATGGAAACTCTCGTCGAGACGGTCATCTGGGTATGATGTACGTCTTAGTTGACTTCCGGTTAGTTCTGTAGGTCAAAATATATTTCGTCTCGGTTTACCTACAGATCTTCTACTGTATTACTCAATACACCCTTCTTCAACTTGTACCAGTGGAGCAACAAGAAGAAGATAAAGCTCGAATAAGATCTAGAGAGAGAGAGGCGTGGGGGTGTGTTTGTATAATGAAAGATGTCTTCTCTTCTCATGAGCTTAATGATGCATATATAGAGCTATAGTAGGGACCCTTAGGAGATTAGGAAAAGGGCTCCTTAATTAATTAGACTAACTGTGGGCCAAGCCCACTCCTCTAATTAATTAAATAATATTTATGGGTCACCAACATTATATTATTGCACTCCCTTTTCCTAGCCCAAATTACATTTGAGACTCCAATAATAATTACTCGATTTACCTCCCCATGTTTAACGTATAATGTCCATTAATTAATTTGATTACTGACAATCAAGAATTATTTAATTTATTATTATTTCACAGAAGCTAGCGCTCGTTCATCACATTCTTATTATGCCGGAACTTAATCCACCTGCAGGGTTTAGCATAACAATCCTTCATGAACTCACTCCTGGGACATCATCAAACTAACGCACATGGTGACCATAAATATCCTAACAGTACATCCTATATATAATAATATTACCCAAAACAGTAGGAATATTAATCCAGCGAACTGAACCTCACCCATGTGAATCAAGGTAATATATATTATATATATCTGCCTGTTTAATATCTTACGGGTTAAGAGAACGCATTAATTAACCGAGGCCTAGTTCATTTACGACGATCAGTATAAAATGAACTTCTCCTCTCTAGGATCCTGTTCAATACATAAATGTACTAGTTCAACTAATCAGTCAAGACAAACTGTACAGTTGATACTACAACCGTTCGGATGGGGTGTTCATGTCCTTCTAGGTTGTGAACAACTGTTCTTGTTCGCAAGTAACTGATAGAGTGATCTTCGGTTCGCCCGATGACGACCCACCCTATCTAAGTGCAGAATAACAGAACGTAGAACTTGTTTAATCTAACACGATTCTCATTCATAAAGGGCAAATGTGTAATAACATGCAAAGCCAAGCTTTCAGTATATAACACCAACAATCTCCCACTTATACTTAAAGCTTTCGCTTTTACAGTATAGTCCTATCAATCCGTTATTCTAAAAGACCTATGTCGATCCTATTGCCATGCTCATGACTCCCATTCCTTCCACGTATTTGACGAAGACCTTCCCCAGCAAACTCTTCGTGAAAGGATCAACTAGGTTGTCCTCTGACGCAATCTTGGCAACATCAACGTCTTCTCTACCAACGATATCCCGAATCAGATGGTATTTGCGCTCTATGTGTTTGCTTGCCCTGTGGGCTCGAGGTTCTTTTGAGTTCGCTACTGCTCCACTGTTATCACAGTACACGGTGATACCACGTGGCAAACTCGGTATAACCTCTAAGTCCACTAAGAAGTTCCTGAGCCAAACTGCCTCTTTCGCTGCCTCTGAGGCTGTTATGTACTCGGCTTCCATGGTTGAGTCTGCCACGCATTTCTGCTTAGCACTTTTCCATGAAATGGCTCCACTTCCCAAGGTAAACACATAACCTAAGGTTGACTTACTTTCATCCCTATCTGACTGGAAATCAGAATCACTGTAACCCAGAGGTAACAAGCTGCCTGCACGGTAAACTTGTTGGGTTCGATAGTACCGTACGGGCTGTACGCAGCGGAATTTAAAATTTTTAAAGTAAGTATTTATCGTATAAATACAACACCCGTACATACTAATTGCGAATTAACTGATCGTCATCTTTAAAACATGCATCATATACAAATTTTGATTTGTTACTATAAAGTAAATACTAGTAAAAATATTTACCGAATTTCTTGAACTCCTTCACTATTGATGATGGATGAGGGAATCGGTTCCCGGTTGTAACTTCAACGACTTGAGGTTACTCGCTAGAGGAATCCAAGTGTCTTCCCTCTAAACGTATCCACCCTATGAAGCCCGGTTCCGACGACTTTCCTTCGCTAGTAGAAAAGACTCGGTTTTCTTGTATAGGAATATTTATGAATTTTATTTGGGAATTTTAAGAACTCTTTCTTGAAGTTTTATGAAGAACACTTTCTTCTCTTTCTAACACTTAGAAATTTAGGATCAAAAACTTCACTTAAATGCAAAACCATTTTGCATATATTTATACTAAACATTTTAGC